ACACACACATCTCTCTTCTTTCTCTCTCTAGAAAACTCTCTCTACCTTCTCTCTAATTTTTTTCTCCAAACACCACAAACCACAGCCTCTTAACCACGAAATTATGGAGATTCATAAGGTTTTTTCAAGCCACAAATAAATTTAAGGTAAAGAACATACATCTCTTGAAGATCCACAACAATGATTTAAGCCATGCATGTGCATTTTACTTCAAAAACCGACTTCTACTTCTTCATCTTCTTCAAACTTGTTTTCTTTTTGTTAAAATGGTTATTATAACATCATGGATGTGTTGTAACACCATGCATGTATGTTAAACAAGGTTGCATGTTAATGATCTTAGTGCAAAAATCGATTTTAAGGATCAAAACATCAAACTCATTTTAAGAGTTCTGAGAAATAAGATTTTTGTATTTTAATGCATGTATGTAAATTATGATTTTTAAATATATTTGATCTCTGGAAACATGACTATAACATGCATGGATCATGATATCTTTAAAATATTTCAAAAGATTTACTTAAACAAATGATGAAAACTCACTTTTCTAACCAATCATCATGCATGCAATCTGCCAGATTTCTTTACCTGACTTTAAACTGCCATATCTCACTCATTTCTTAACCAAAATTCGAGATTCTTTTTCTGAAATATAATATGTTGAGTTAGATTTCAAACCCAGCTGACCTTACTGGAAAATTCCAATATTTCGATTTTTAGCAATTTTTACAAAACTGTTGCTCAATCAGCACCTTTTTGTGAATACTAGTTTTGTATTGCATGTTCAAAGGTCTTATTCCTCACTAAAAATATAGGAAAAATGAATTTGAGCACTTAACATCATTTATTAATAGGTACAAAAAGGTCTTGATTTAAAAGTCTTTGGAACATGTTGCAAAAGTTCTCAAAGTAACATCAATAATCTATACCAAAATCACAAGTATCAAATTTTCTCTATAATTTATTGAGCCTTTAGGCATGTTTTCCACATCAAAAATAAGAAAACGATTTTTCATTGATATTAAATTGTATGAAGATGCATTCTGAAAATTTTCAGCTCAATATATATTTTATTTATTTTTACATGAAAATAATAAGAAAATAGAATGTTAAAGCATATAAAATACTTACACTTATAAATAAATTCTGGAAAAATTTGTGGATGATCCTTTTAGTTAATACACATCTCTCATGAAGTTTCATGGATTGTTGTTACTTTTTTGTATGGTTTTGAATTTTATTGTATTTAGCTCCAATAAATCATAAAACCACTTTAGGGAAGGTGAAAATATTATCTATTATTTTTTGCAGCTTCTACCTTATGTTTAAGAATCAGACAAATATTTTGGGAATTTTTAAAAATGTATATCTATTTTTCCATGATTTTTGTGTTTATAATGGACTAAAAACAGGAAAAATAGTTTTCCTCCTCCAAAATTCATGAAAATTTACCAGAGCACCTTTTAATATATTAGGATGCTACATATAAATTTTAATGATTTTTCTCTTCTGTATGCTATTTTTCTTCTATTTCCCCAAGATTTAATACACTTAAATGCACAAAAATAATAAAATTAGGTTAACAGTTTAGAAATCCATTTTTATATTTTCCCAGCTTAAGTATGTGTAATAACACTTGTAAAAAAAGGTTTTGTGAATTTTTGAAACTGTTATCTATTTATTTTTATTTTTATAGAATAAATACACAAAAATCAGAAAAATTGTGTTAAACTTTTTGAAAAGACATATTAGTATTTTTCCTAGATTATGTACACTGTAAAACAGTTACACAAAAATTATAAGAATTTTTCATGATAATTTACTATTTTTCCATGATTTTATGATTATTCAAGGAATTAATGGTGAAAAAATAGTTAGACAAATCAAAAATTCAAGAAAATGTATCTTAAGGTCTTTGACTTCAATTAAAACTGAAATGAAAAGTTTGGGAAAGTTTAGAACCAAATTGATTTAGTTTTTGAATATTTAATCATTGGAACACCTCTTAAAATGTTAAATATTAACATTTCAATAATGAAAATTTTCCACTTAAATTGTTATATAACAATTGATTCATTGAAATTTAATTTTCACAAAAATATGTTTTTAACTTATCAATATTAAATTTTGACACAATATTGACATAATTCTATTGTAGTAGCAAATATACTAGTGTTAACTTTCTATTAGAGACTCATTAGTGTGTAACATCGTGTAGGAATCGATAGTGGTACAAGTGGATCGTAGTTGAAGGCACCATTTGCATCATCTCAATGCATATTGTGAGTATTCACCACTCCCCCTATTTTCGGGTGGAAAAGCATGTCCGAAAATCTATTTATTGTTCGTTGTATTTAAATTGATTTGTATCAAAATTGATTGCTATATTTTGCTATGTATGTTTATGAAACTTGAAACATGAGGCCTTATCGTCTTAAGTCCCTTCCCTTATACTTTAATCCAACCATTAACTCTTTGAGCCAATGGTCATTATGGATAGCGCTATTAGGAATTGACAACTCCTCACTCGCCCGATTGCTGGAGTGCATGATACCATATTATTCTATGGAACGATAAGCATAGATCTTGATAGGGCATCAGTCATAAGCTTGGTTGTGACCTCATTGTTTGCTCATACACATACAAAATTGTTATTAGTTATGGCAATAAACTTGTTTATTAATTATAGCAAATGAACTTTGTTTCTCATTATAGCAATGAACTTTGTTTCTCATTACAACATCAAAATTTTATTATTGGAAACTTATATACATGTTTTAGCAATGAAATTGTTTGCTCATAGTAGTAATGAACTTGATTACTCATTTTAACAATATATTTTCATTTATGGAAACTTTTATCAAAACTTGATTTCGATTAATGAAACCAATATTATTATTTTAATCTGTGAGTACTCACAAACTATTTTTATAGTTGACGCTCGTTTTACATGCTTTTTCAGGAATCATCGAGTAAGTGGCACTTAGGGACACATCACTTTTAGGAGCATTTGCATGTGTTGTATTTCAATTTACATTGTAATTTCTTTTAAAAGTTGTTCAAACCCATTGTAAATTTGTAATGATTTTTAATACTATGGTTGGTGTTGTCTTTAAACTTTTGCTATGAAACCCTTTGTACTGCCATGCCTCGTGTTTCCGCTTTAGCGGGGTGTGACAGTTTGGTTTTCAGACGGAGTGTATGAAGGGGGAGGCAGAGTCTGATTCGTGATCTTCTTGGTCATGGGAAACTCAGTTTTGTTTGTGTTGATGGGTTAAGAGGGAGGTGTATCAGGAGAATTAAACATCAAAGGTGTTGTGAACATAAACCCTTGAACTTCTCCGTCCACCATCACAACTATCACTAATCGAAGACCAATTGAGCAAAAAACCACCTTCTTTCTCCCTTGATCCTCTTCCTATTCGTTTGCCAAAGAGGACGCATATGAGTATGGTCTTGAGGGCAATAAAAAAATGGAGTTGTGTTCATGAAATTGAAACCAATAAGAACATATCATGAACCTTTTATTATGTTATGAATCAAATCAAAGAGAAAAAGAAAGCTTCGTTTACTAAAAGCTTCAATTTTATCTCCTATGGTTGTGGTTTTACATAGTTGCAGGTTTTGATTTTCGGATTTAGTTGTGGGTGAAGGGTAGGGGTAGTTCTTGTGTGTGTGTATGTGTGTGTGTGAGAGAGAGAGAGAGTGTGTGTGTGTGAGAGAGAGAGAGAGGTGGATAAATGGGCCCACTTTTATATTTAATAATAATAATAATTTTAAAAAGTGAATAGAAAAATAAAAACTAAATTCAATAAGGGTATAATAGTCTTTTTAGTTTGGTCATGAACCAAAACTGCAAGCAAACTAGCTCAAAAAGACCACCAACCTAAAAAGTCGAGTTTGGACTGAACCTCAGAAAAAATGCATACCATAGTAACCATTTTCGTAATTTTGTCTTAATAAAAACCGTGATGTATTAGGAGTATTCATGTGACTCGAATAACAGACAGGGATCTCGGGTTTACCTGAGATCTTACATGTTCCTGTTGTTGTTGAAGAGTTGTTCTTAGTTCTTGGCTCCTATAAACCATGATAAAAAATTAGCATAAGATAATAATACAGACAATTAAACTGAACAATATTAGAGTGGAAGGTATTGAAAAAGGTCCTTAACTACAATCGAAGCTGAACACTTCCACAGTAACAGTTTTCTTCATGTCTATCTAAAAGCTACTGTATAAACAATTACAAATGGCAAAACATGCTTCATCTTGTTTATACAAATAAACCTTTTACAAATAATCTAAACACAATCGTTTATTTTCAATCGCATTAATCACCCTTTGTTTGCATTCTTGTAGTCTTTTCTTTGGCATTTTCACAAAAATGCAATAAAAGTTGAAAAATTATATTAAAAAAGGTTAATGATTCGATGGATTATAAACTTTCCCGTGAGCACTTCAAAGAAAATAGGTAATCGCAAACCAAGCTGTAAGAAACATAGTATCAATAGATGCCAAAAAAAATTGATACAAAAGATCCTTCACATTATAACAAAACAATAAAAAAAAATCTTTTTTGTTGATTGGTCTGTTTTAGTCATCAATTCACGGTTTAATTACCGGTTCTACTGTTCGCATTGACCCGGATTTTAGACTATTGGCAGTTCATGTACACCAATATCCGCTAAGTAGCTATGCAAAATTGCAAATGTCCCGTGAATACACACAGGATCTCATGTGCTTGCCTGGAAAACAAATAGCTTAATAGATTACACGTGGAAATGAATCCTCATCTTACAAACCCACGTGGCAGACCAGATAGACATCAATTCATACCTGTCTGACGATTTAGACTGACACGCGTCACTCTTCAAAAGCTTTTATCCGAAGAAGCTAAGCGATCCCACTGGAGCCTTCGATTTTCAGCTTTCGACAGCTATAAATTCCTTACGTGATCTTGATAATACAAAATCGTGTCAGTTCGTAAAACTAAAAAAATGGATATCGATTTGAGGGGATTTGGTATGGATCCGGCGACCATCGCTGCTATCGCAAGCATGTTTGACGTCGCCGACGAAGTTGATTACGATAAACCCCACCCGCCGTCGCGAGCATACGTTCGAGATGCTAAGGCAATGAGAAACACGCCGGCAGATATCATAGAGTACCCGAACTCGTACCAGTTCATCGTGGACATGCCTGGGCTGAAGCCGGAGCAGATCAAGGTGCATGTGGAGGACAGCAACGTGCTGGTGGTGAGCGGGGAGCGGCGGAGGGAAAAGGAAGAAGGGGTGAAGTATGTGAGGATGGAGAGGAGGGTAGGGAAGCTGCTGAAAAAGTTCATTTTGCCGGAAAATGCAAACGTGGATGCTATATCTGCTGTGAATCACGACGGTGTGTTGAAGGTTATGGTAGAGAAGCTGCCACCGCCGGAGCCGAAGAAACCTAAGACCATCCAAGTGAAGGTGGGGTCGCCCTCGGAGGAAGCTGCGCCGGTGAGTGATGGAAAGGGTACAAGTGGACAGCTGGACAAATGAATTAATGTAGAATATGTAGTTAGGGTTGCGTAATCATGTATGCGTATATGTATATGCAGTTTGCAAGGTCTGTAGCCATAACGAAGTCGTTTGTTGTTGATATACACCCGTCCTTGTTGTTTCTTTATCTTCTTTTATCGTCGTATCACTCTACATTCTTCTATTTGTTTTCCGATTGCATAATTTGTTCATCTAATGATCCAGCACTTCATAATTGTGTGTTGATATGAACTGTGGCGGGTATGCAAATAAGTTAGACCCAAAACAGGAAATTTTTATACTTTATAATAGTTGTTTTTATCTCTTTCTTTATAATTTTTTAAAATTTTCTAATGGCCTATCACATTAAAGTTATAATGCATAAATTTTGAATGGATTGTTACAAAAAAATAAAAAAAAAAACTATAAATAATGCATGAATTTTGAATGGATTTGTTATTATTTAAAGGTATTATATTATCTTTTTATATTTATATCATATTATTTTTTTATAATGTATTTAAACTCTATAAAATTTAATAGTCATTATAAAAATTAATTTATAATATTTACTATTTAGGAGTACTTTTTTATTAAAAAATCAGTGATCATGTATTTATTAAATATTAAGATGGTATCTTAAAAAAAATAAAAATTTTATCCATGACAACAGTTACATTTGTAATCTCATTTGACTTTCCTATTAACCTTATCATTGTAGAGTTTTAAACACAAATAAAATAATAACCTTAGAAAATATTGCCCAGAGAAGATATCAATTTCATCAAGTGATTAGCTTGACTTTCCTATTAACCTTATCATTGTAGATGTTTTAAACACAAATAAAAATAATAACCTCAGAAAATATTGTCGAGAGAACATATCAATTTCCGAAAATGATCAGCTGACAGTTACATTACAATTAGCTCATGATAAAACAAAATCGTTACATTACAGTTAGCTCATGGTACAAAATCAATGTGGTTGACGAATGATGATACAGAGAGTCAGAGAGGTTAAATCATTACATTACAATTAGCTTATGGTGCAAGTGATGGCCAGTTCAACTGGCTTGATGCATTGGGTTTACATCACCATGTGGGTTTGAGGTTGGGGTTTCAAACCCGGTAAAGCACAATTTGTGCGCTTCTTGCAATTATGTCCCATGCTGGGGAATTTTCCCTAGAAATCCCCTTGGGGGCTGAGTTTGTCCGCTTTGCGGAGCTCGAATTCGGGGTCTACTCTGAAATATTGGGTAGAGGCTTCCGCTGAATCGTTTGCCGTTTCCAAAAAATTAGCTCATGGTTAAATCATTCATTCATTTTTCTTACCGGAGAGGTTCACTAGTAAAAAAATGACCTACAAACACACCAAAAAAGTGTGACCATATGCATATAGTGATATTTTATTTTTTCACTGAAAGTGTGACGGAAGGTGACACCATCGTATGAGTCTCATCGTCACTTTAAAATTTAGTGTCTGTATATATGAAAAAATGTGGTTGTATCATAAAAGTGTGGCTATAGGGTAGGAATTTTGTTGGCATAATCAATCATTTTATCTAATATTGTGGCGTTAAACAGTCAACAGATACATTTTTTTAGTAATTGTAGTGACTGTATATCACCAACCGGCGACATACATGTTGTTCCAATGTGGTGTTTTGCTAATAAACTATCACATAATTCAAAGTTTATTAAGACTATTTGGTATATTTTTGCAGACATGCGATTACCGTGAACATGACCATGTTCATTAAATGGCCACATGTAATTATTTTCAAAAGTGTCGATTTGCTAATAATTAGTCACAATACCAATATTTTGTTATGACTATTTCTAATTGTATAGAGACACATAATTAAATAAAACATGATCATAAGTATGATAAAGACACGTTTTATTAAAATTATAGATTTAATATTAGTTTACCGCCATACTTGTATTATTTATCATGACCAATACTATCATTCATACATATTTAATTTAAATACATATTTGGTTAGATCATGACTATTGTTAACCGTTTAGCTACATGCCAAAAATGATGTGAAGTGATCATTAATTATATAATTTTAGACATTGAAAAGCTTAAAAACATGGCCAATTTTAATATTATAGACACATGAAAATTTTGAAGTATGATTATTGTTTAACATTCAATGACGTTAATACAAATTTTATTGTTACTTTTGCTATATTTCATACACGTCAAAACAATAAAAATAAAAATAACCATAAACCAACAATATAAAACGATAAAAGAAATCGATATTATTAATAATTGAAAAACAAATCTATACATAAGATCCCTAATTGAAATAGCAAAGAAGAACTTGTACTAATAACAAGTCTAAAAATATAGTAAAAAAATAAAAAAACATCGTCAACCAAAAACTAGATATAAGTATGCTTTCATCTTGTTGATATTGTTCCTTATCTTCTTGAGAATGATATCACTCGATACACAAGTACATTGCCTAAAATGGGATTCAAAGAGAATGAAAACATTAAAACTTGGTTTGATTAACCGTTGGATCCAATATCACCTATTTAAAGGGTTAGTACTACCTTGAGAAAATAATGGTTCACCCATGTTGGGGTGATTTCTGTCTAATTCACACTACAACATCAACATAATAGTAAAAAAACAAGAGGTAAGAAATATGTGCACATTTAGGTTCCTATCTAACCAATCACAAGAAAACCTAGCATATGCACCATTTTGACAGGATCTTTTCCATTTTGATGGAATCGGTACCATTCCTCCATCTGTAGAACTCTTTGACTCTAGCGAAGCACCTATCATTTAAAATTGAACAAAAATGTAAGGTTGGAGATAATTTACTACCATGAAAACAAAATAAAATATGAATTATGCATTTCATTAAACTATTGAGAATTAATGACTATATTACTGTGTAAAAACAACAATGGACAATAAATAAGATATGTATAGTATATAAATACCAATTGCTTAGACAATCTATAAAAATAAGTTGTTTTGTATCAGTTATTGTAGTGTTTCCCAGAACATAATTAATTTTATTTGACCAAATAATAGCAAGTTTTGGCTATAAAGAGTAAAGACTATAAATGATACTTTCAAACATAATCGCTTTTGAAAAGTCAGGGGGTATTGCCTCATTTAAGAAAAAGTCACATGAAATACAATCACATATTTATGTTACATTTAGATGCATTAAAGCATCTAAATATAAAAAATATGAGGAATAATAAACATAATACGGATTTTTGTTTCATGACAGATATAGACAAAAAGAAGAAGAATAAAAACCTTAGCAGACCCATGTTGTTTCTTGACGATCACCACCAAGAATAAAGGCAAATGATAGAATGATAAAAAGTAGATCACCTGCTCAGTATCTTCCTTAGTGTCAATTTGTCAAGTATCTGTTGTTGCTCTTTGTTTCATCTCACAAACTCACATCCGCCTCCAACCTGCAAAGTTTGAAGAAATAATGAGATAAGCAGATGTTTGTCAAGGGATGTATGCATCGGGTTCCATAATCGAAAGAAAAAATAGAAACGATGCCTTAGTATAACCAAAAAAAGGAAATACATGTCAAGCTATAACCCAAAACCTAAATAACAATTCCCTATTTCGTTCCAGATGTTATTCATTTTCTTTAGCTCTTAATACCCTTTTTCAAACCCTAAAGAAAACATATAAAAGATTATAAAAAGTCATATGTCATTTACAGTCCGTATCCTTAGGTTTTTTTCTAATATATATATATATATATATATATATATATATATACACACACACACACACACACACACACACACACACACACACACACACACACATATATATATATATATATTATATATTATATATTATATATATATTTATGTGGCTTCTCAAAATCACCAACTTTTCATCTCAATTTGAGATCACAAGAAGAACTTGTCACCATCTGTTCCAATTTCTGCATTTCAAACCAAGCAAAAAGTTAAATCAGACTTTAAAGAAAATAATAACAATTTCATCAATCACCTTTAAATCAGAATTATGCCTTCTACGACATCACCCCTCCATTTTGAACCATCTGTTTAATCGTAATTATGTTCGAGACTTCATTATAAAAATCGAAGCAAAAGAAGGAAAAAAAACATGGCTACCTGATGAGCAGCCTTCGAAAAGAGAAATTGATCACATGTCATGTTATATGGAAGAAAAATATAACAGAAGAATAAAGGACTTGAGGATTTGAATGGCTACCTGATGATGAACAGAGGTGTTAGAGGGTGGGATTTGGAGTATAGTGTTGAGTACGTCCCAATTGAAAATGGAAGCTACTTGATTGCGATTGAGACAACTTGGAAATTGGAACCAGGGAAGAAGCCGTTCAAAACTCTAACACTGGAAAAGAAGCCAGGAAGTTGGTTTTGTTTATCAATAACTCGATTTATAATTTGGAAAGAACAACCGTTCCCGGATGATTCGGTGGATGAAGATGGAATCGAACAGAAGGAGAAATTTGATTGGACTGTGAGTCATATTTTCCAATCCACGATTTACAACAGATGAAGAAGGCGTTAGGGCGAAAGAGCTGAGCGTGATTTTGAAAAGTAGGCGATTTAGGGGTTTTTTTTACGATTTAATTTGGGGGCGGGAGAAACAGCAAGACCAAATTTGGGGCGGGCTAAATTATAATTCTAATTTTAATAATTAGGAGCGCCAAAGCTAATCTAGTGATATAAGTTTATAACTTTTTTTTTTATAAAAACCTCTTATTGAAGTTATATTTTTTTAAATATTTTTATTATTTATATATAATTGATGTTGTGATTGAATAATTAATTATCTAAACATAATTTAAAATATCATTAAAGTATATAAATATTATAAGAATGAATTATTGAATTTGTTTTACAAATACAATTGTAACCATGTATATATTGTTTCCCTAATTTCCCATCTATGTAAGCGTAGGCCATAAACCTAAGACCTAACCCTTAAGCTATAAACCATGAGTTATAATATAGTCAAAA